CATTAGTTCCAAAAGCAGATGAACCATCAGCTTGCCTATTTAAGAAACAGTAGCCAATCTAGATGTGTGTATGTGGGGGTCATCTAACTAGTTGATCAACTAAGCCCTAGGCACTAATAAGGTCTTGTGGGGGGCAATTTGCAGCCAACTTATGGCAACCTTGTATGGTCCTCAAGACAAGAGACATTCAGAGGTGGTTTGCCATTGCCTACCTCTGCATAGTGGCCCTGGTATTCCTTGGTGGTCTCCCATCCAAATAGTAACCAGGGCTGACCCTGCTTAGCTTCCAAGATCAGGCTGGCCTTGGGGTAGCAATATTTCCAGGGGCAGCAATGAAGGTGCATGTGCTCTGTAGTGCACTCTGGCATCTTCTGTGACACTGCAAATGATTTCCAATCATATTACTTATATTGCATGAGGCAGCCATTTAAGAGCATTGTAGGCCAGCTTCTGCACCAATGTATTTTAAAGGACCAGCCTCTTTAGTTCATAGTGCTCAGGTTCAGGTACAACGAAAAACCATGGGCTTCAGTCTCGGAAATCCATTTTCGAAAAGAATTTCCAAAGCTACAGAACGCATAGTGGTGTGAGGATACACACACGCACAACAAAAACTCATAAGCACCAAGAACAAATATTTTTTAGAATAACTATTGACAATATCAGGGACCACCAAGGCCTGGAAGAGATTGGCTGTCTTTAGGCAGTCCTTTGGGACAATAGATTCCAGAACTTCCCAGAAGAAAATATTTCTTTGTCACTTCTTGAAGTCTGCACTTTGACCTGTGGGCTCACCAGGCTCTTCAAAAGAGACTGCACTTAAGTTATTAACATGACAGCCTTCAATTGTGGACAGGCTAGCATTCTAAACTATTTTGGTCTCTCTGACATTTTGGGGATACTGCAGTTTTTGCATGTAGCTGCTGAAATTTCAACCTAATGCTACCCAAATCAACAAACGTCAGTTGATTGCAGTGGAATTCATGTTTCTTACGTTATTGGTTTCTTCAAAAAGAATAACCCTCTCCTCTTCCTAAGTCTAGTATGCATCACATTCCCTGGGTAATTACACCAAGTTACACAACAGCCCCAGGGAACATATTAAGCAATAGTGGAGGGAGGTGGCTATTTTCTTGCAGCAGACACAAAGCACAGGCTATACAGGGTGGAGAATAATACCAAATACCTGTGGGCCCTCTGAGCTGGGCGTGCAGCCAGATGAACTGGAAAAACACGTACCCTCAGAACACAGCTGTTCTTCGATTAAAAACAAGCCCAGAAAGAAATGCTCTCTCATATTCCAGAACGTATCACTAACAGTTCGCTTTTGATGAAGTTGTTGTTCTTACTTACTTTTGGATCTGTACATCAGACATATGTTCCAAAGTGCTAAGCAAACCAGTACCTTTCAGGTGAGCACTGATTTTTGGCAACTTTTTGCATTTTCTTTTACAGACTCAGGCAGTCTTATCACACTTTTCATAGCCCTTGTTTTGTTCTTTTCCATATTTTCCTCCACACAAGTTTTATACTTCAAAACAAGTAGGCGTCCATGGGTTCTGGGTCTTGAACTGGGAATCTCACACCCAGAAGCCAGACACGAAAATTAGTTAGCTGAGATCTTTGTGTTCACACCTCAGAGCTCTCTTCAGGCTCAGAAACACTGGGAGCCTGGGTCTGCCATACTTGCAGCCCTTTCTGTATTCTGCATTTCAGCTTCCCGCTCAAGCCATTTAAGCCTTTTCTCTGATTCCAGGCTGAACCTTCCACTCCAGCTCCAGCAAGTGACCTTGGGGACCCTGGGATGGACTCCATGGCTATCCATGGCTACAGCCTAACCTGGCCCTAGCATAGGGAAGCAGAGCAATAGTATGCATATATGGAAAGTCCACTTTCTTGATTTAGATAATGAATTCTGAGTTTCCTGGGCACAGAGCAGGTGGGGTTTATAAGCACAGAAAGGTCTGAGCAGGGAAATGATGTGAACTTCCAATTAAGATGGTAATCAGAAGCAGCTCTGTGCTGCCTTCTTTTTTGTATCATGCTTTGATTTGGTCCTGTTTTGTTTGATTTTGCAGCTGTTCACTCTCATTTCAGTATTTTAATTTTGTTATTATTTTTCCTGATAAGCATGCTGATATTTTTAAAACTATGAAATCAGAACCATTAATGCACTGCAGATCAGGATCAGGTCTCTCAACTTTCTTTCCCAAATGGATTACCATTAACTGCATATCACTTTATACATTATAGGGCAGAAAACACCAAATCACCAACAAATACATGCTAAAGACTGAAAAATGCCATAACCTTTGACTGTGACCCTAAGTTCCCACTAAGGAAGAATGCTAGGGCACCAATTTTAGAATATTTTACAACACATGGTGTTTCTTTTCTCTTGGTGAATCCCTGCTGGTGGGGGGGGGGGGAAGACAGCATGTGTTGGTCTTTCTTCCCCCCTAGAGAAGATGGGTTTGACTTATATTCTAAATCAAGAAGCAATGGCCAATCCCAGGTACTTTATGACTGTATCCATGGGACATTATGTGCACAAACATGACTGCATTTTATTTTCAAGGGTATGTCCAGTCCACCATGGATCAGAGCCTGCACAGAAAGGAATCCTAATAGAACACAATGAAGTCCTTTTTTGTCACATGCTCCTGCAGCATGTACTCATGGGGAAAGCTGTTATGGGGAATAGGAGGTCTTGGGTTCCTCCTGTAATTGTCCTGGCTTCCTGTTCCATAGGATCGTGGGATATGGTTTACAGCTTACACTCCTTAACTGAGCAGAGAAAGATGAGAACAGGCGGCCTTCTATGCTCCCCAATAGCCTGTTACAGGGCCTAAGTGTGAACACCCCATGGGAAGAATGACAGGGTTGTGTGATGACCTCTGGGGATTCCTTATGGACACAAGTACTGGCCAGCACTGGACTGGTTTGAGCCCAACAAATAACACACACACAAACTCTTCATGTAGAACCTTTTTTAAAAGTTCAAAGTCCCTTTTACTTCACGCTATTCACATTTTTTTTTAAATGTAGTAGCGAACAGGAAAGTGCAACCTCAGAAGTGCTCCTACCCAGTGAAGGGCGAGATTAAAACAAGATCCATGCATGTTCTTATTCAGCACACAGAGAGGGGACAGCTGGGTGGCAACCGTGCTCTTCACACCCCCCCCCCCTCACACACACACAGCTGAAGCTGAGCTCAGTCCCATCCAGGGCTTTTTTTCTGGGGGAATGCGCCAGAACGGAGTTCCGGAACCTCTTCGACAAAAATCATTTTTAAAAGGTTTAAACGTGTGAGTTGTCAGTATACAAATTGAAAACTTAACTTCCCTCTTGAGAGTTCCAGCACCTCTTTTTCAAAAAGGAAAAAGAGCCCTGGTCCCATCCACCAGAAAGCTGATTTTATGTTATGTGACAGGCAGTGCCTACGGTCCTCTGAGCACACAACCCGGTTTTTAACACTTCCTTTTCTCATAGGAAGCATTAAAACTAACAGCAACATCTCCTTACCCGTACCTGTGTGGATGCTCCTTTCTTTCAACTCAATTTCTCTGCAGAAAGAAAGGCGTTGTGCTGAACTTACTAGCTGCAACTACCTACCTATTTGTGTTTATTAACACTGGATTTGGATGCAAATCCATTTTTTACTTAAGCAGCTGTGACAAAAAGGGTATCAGCCATTTGTCCTGCAAAAACTGTGGTTTAGTAGTGAGAGTACAGGGCTTAGACAAGTGAATCCCTGGTTCAAGTCTCTACTCAG